ACGTCCAACACGTTATCGAACGCACTAACGCCTATAAAACATTTCTTTTAAAAAAATATTTCACTTACACTTCAAAATATTTTTCAAAACCTTTTCATTTTAAACTTTAGAACTGAAAAATCTTTTAAAAATCCAAAAAATTATTTTAAAAAACATAATAACAACAATAATAATAACAATAACAATAATAATAATAACAATAATAACAATAATAATAATAAAAATAATCCCAAATCTAATAAAACAAATCCCAAAATACCTTTCGATCCTTCAACGAGTTAATTAAAAAAGGTATCAATTCAGGCAGATGCGGCGTTATACCATTCATACACCCCTCTGCCACCGCTCCCAATGCCAATATACCACTCTCCTTTATCTAAAACAAAACAATAAACACAATAACAATATATAACAACAAATAATAAATAATAATAATAAATAATAAAAATAACAAATAATAATAAACACAACACAATAACAACAAATAACAACAATCAATCTCACCAGCCAGTCCTCATGAAACAATGTCTCCTTTAATATCGGCAATAATGTCGGCAAAAAATCATCATTGAATATTCCCGATAGTACGTCCAATGATGCCGCACTGCATTTCCCTTAAAACACATCACATTTATTATTTATTATTATTCCTCTCCACACTATTATATATATTATTTTTACAATTATTATTATATATTATTATCATTATTATTACTCTTCTCATCACTACTATACATTATTTTTACTACTATTAAATAATATTATCACTATTATTACCCTTCTCCACACTATAATATATATTATTTTTACAATTATTATTATATATTATTATAATAATATTTCCATAATCCTCCCAAACAATTAACTCAACTCACTCAAATTCCATTCTGTTGACGAGTCGTCATCTATATCGTCATCATCCATATACTCCTTAAATAATTACATCTTAACCACCATCAAAACATCAAAAAATAAAAACAAAACAAAATAAACAACAATAATAATAATAATAATAAACTGTAAACATTGTGCTTATTGTAATCTCTTCATTATATTCGTATTCCATCAACCAAATTCTACTCATCCGCATTGTAAATTCGTAACAATTCATAATAAATAATAATAATAATAATAAT